TGATGACCTAGCCCGAGAGCGCGAGTACTGGGAACGCGAAATTGACGTAAAGATGATCTTCAACTTTCTCATGAAACGCTTCTCGTCGCGCCGACCCAGCATCTCCTCTTCGCAACCTGTTCTCCCACCCCAACCCATCCGTACCGCTAGCGCCCCTTCTACAGCTACAAACGACAACAATCTTAGTTCCGCCCACCGAGCAGCCATTATCCGCCAACACCACCCTTTGGTAAATCGGACGACGTCAGATAGTAGACTCCCCACGTCGTCCGCCCCTCACTCGAGGGAGTCGCGTCGCTTCGCTACTTACTACACACCTCCAGCCAGTGGCTTGAAGGACAAGACAAAGCTGAGGAGTAGCTCAAGCTGCGCTAGTCAGAGCACCAAGAAGAGCAAGAGGAGTAGCAATTCACAAAGGAATTACTGGGACCTTGGTGGTAGCGTAGGCAGTGGGAGTGTTGTCGGCTAGGTCGGCATACCTTGAAACTAGAGAGGAAGAAGAGACATGGTTGGACGATTGAACGGTCATCGTCATTTATCACTTTTTGGCATTAGAACGCACAGACGACATTACGCATAGCATGAGCATAGGTTATAGGAGTTGGATGGACGGGATACCGGCTTTGGATAAGCCACGACAAGCGCATTTCTACTCTTTCACTTTTGGGCATCAAATCAGAATACCAATATTTAGATGTTTTTCATTACTTTCTTGTATGTATAAATATATCTACTACTCTTCCTACAGCATGTCTCTGGTCCCGTCCTCGACGCGATGTCTGCTGCGGATGGGCCGATTGTCGGAGTGGATCATGAGTCGTAAGGTCACATGCCTACTTGGCAAGATAACATGGGACTCTCGCTTTCGATAGCAGTCCGAAACGGCTCATCTTGGGGTGCTCTGGTTTTATACCGACGATATGCGGAAAAGGATACCCAGGTATTACGAATTCACGCACCAAAGTCGCGTCATGATGCATTGTCCTTGTCCCGGACCCAGTGTTATCATGTAGCGCATAATCCCGCATCACGGCAGTTGGAATAAAGATTTTGTTGCGTCGATGAAGCGCTCTTGACTGCGCTGAAGGTTTGATCCTCCAGCACAGTCGAACTGGTTCTTGATTGATTTCTCCATTATCCTGCCGACCCCAGCCACCACCAATTCGCGCTTGTCGCACGAAATATCTCACGTACGTGTTGACAACGTACTGCGGCCCCATTGTTGAAGCTCTTTGTATCTACAGCCTGCCCTAGGCCGTCTCTATATGAAAAGGAAATCTGCAAATGAAACTTTTGGAAGATACAGAACGGGCTGGTATCATGGGGTATAAAAATGCCCTTGGACGCCGTTGAAACACTTGTTGAAAAGGCTCTTTACCCGCCTCCCAAAGATATGCAAATCTTTCTCATTCGCGATCCATGTCGTCGTTAAATCTTGATGTGCGATGAAGTTGATTCATGCGCACTGTATGCAAAAGGCATTAAAATTAGAGCTTGAGCTCCTTGGGCTTCTCCCAGGTGAACTCCTGGTTGGTGAAGTGACCGTTCTTAGCGGTCTGGAAGTAGATGGGGTTGATGAGGTTAAGCTCCTTGACAATGACACCGGGGCGGAGGTCGAAGTTGTTCTTGACAATCTCGACGAGCTCGTCCGAGGACTTGTCGGAGGTACCGTATGTCTCAACGAAGAGAGAGAGGGGCTCGGCGACACCGATAGCGTATGACAGCTGCACGAGTGCGCGGCGGGCCAGCTTGGCGTTCACGAGCGACTTGGCGATCCAGCGCGCAAGGTAGGCAGCGGAACGGTCGACCTTGGAGTAGTCCTTTCCGGAGAAAGCACCACCACCGTGGGCACCCCAACCACCGTAGGTGTCAACGATGATCTTACGTCCAGTAAGACCGGCGTCACCCTGGGGACCACCGATGATGAAAAGACCGGAAGGTTGGATCTGGTATCTGTCAGTGTACAGTCGTATTATGTTGTGTTTGTGGAGAACCTACGTGGTAGACGGTCTTGTCATCAAGCATCTTCTCGGGGATGACCTGCTTGATGATCTTCTCCTTGATCTCCTCACGGAGCTTCTCGGTAGTGATGTCCTCGCTGTGCTGGGCAGAGACGACGACGGTGTCAACACGGAGAGGGACGACGGCACCACCATCGTGGGCGTACTCGACAGTGACCTGAGTCTTGGTGTCGGGTCGCAGCCATGGCAGAGTACCATCCTTGCGGGCCTTGGTCATGGCCGAGTTCAGCTTGTGGGAGAGGAGGACGGTCAGAGGAAGGAGCTCGGGAGTCTCGTCGGTGGCATATCCGAACATGATACCCTGGTCACCAGCACCGAGCTTCTCGAGAGCCTCCTCGTAGTGGAGACCCTGAGCAATGTCGGGCGATTGCTGCTCAATGGCAACGAGGACGTTGCATGTCTTGTAGTCGAAGCCCTTCTCGGAGGAGTCGTAACCGATGTCCTTGATGGCACCACGAATGATCTTCTGGTAGTCGAGGTGGGCCTTGGTGGTAATCTCACCGAAGACCATGATCATACCGGTCTTGGCTGCGGTCTCGCAAGCGACCTTGGAGAGGGGGTCCTCCTTGAGGCAGGCATCGAGGATGGCGTCCGAGACTTGATCGCTGGAATACAGTCAGCGTCCGTGTTCAGCGGTGGAGAAAGTCGTGGTTTCAGGAAGTGGGGAACGCCGTCTATCACACCGAGCGATATACGTGTCTTATCGCTCTGAATAAGACGACCTCCGAAAGCAATTGAGAAAGAGAACAAGAAGATACGAACCAGATCTTATCCTACAGTTGTGGAGATGCGAAGTCAGTGTATGTCTCACACGCATTTCGTACAGTCATAACTCACCGGGTGACCCTCGCCAACCGACTCTGAGGTGAAGAGGAAGGTGCTCTGGATTTTGTGTTAGACTGATGCAATTCATCCTGGAGGGGTACATTAGACATACCTTGCCGTTTCCGTTAGGGACAGTCATTTTGGCGGTTGATTTCGAAGAGAAGTAGTTTACGACTTTCGACGGCGTTCTTATAGACGGAAGAATAAGTTGGTGAGGAAAGGAGGGGTCGACTTGGGGGAGTGGATGATTTATGCACGTCGCAGATTTGGCGTCGTTCAAATTGCCGAACCCTTCGAAAAAAGCTAAAATCACGCTATTCAAACCCAGGTACCTCCACGGTTGTTAGGCCCTATCAGCCCAGTCAAACCAATCAAACGGCCTCCCCACATCCCACGGACTCCCCCCATCTCACCGCCTCGGGCAGAACCCTTCGCTGAATTTGTGTAGCCGAATGACGCGCCGCATCATCTGAGAAACCATCCGCGAACATGTCTAAATATGGAACCCTGGTTATGGTATGTTAATCGCTCTTTCACGGGTATCATCGCAGACTAACAAGATTAGGGGCCAGCTGGTGAGAAATGTCCTTCTACGAATTATTCGCGAGACATACATTGACGTACCTTTAAGGCGCTGGCAAGTCGACCTTCTGTACAGCCCTCATCCAGCACCTCCAGAACAGCAAACGTCCATGCTTCTACGTGAACCTGGATCCCGCCGCCGAAGAATTCGCATTCGAGCCCGATCTAGATATCAAGGACCTGATCAGCCTGGAAGATGTCATGGAAGAGATGAGCTTGGGGCCCAACGGCGGCCTGATATACTGCTTCGAGTTCCTCATGGAAAACCTCGATTGGCTGACGGACCCGCTTGAGGAGGTTACTGAGGAGTACCTCATCGTGTTCGACATGCCAGGCCAGATCGAGTTGTACACCCACGTACCGATATTACCAAACCTGGTGAAGCATCTCATGACGGGTTCACTTAACATACGCATGTGCGCTGCCTACCTCCTCGAAGCGACCTTTGTCATCGACCGACCCAAGTTCTTCTCTGGCACACTCTCCGCCATGAGCGCCATGATGATGCTGGAAATGCCGCACATCAACATACTGAGCAAGATGGATCTGGTGAAGGGACAGATAGCGAAGCGCGACCTCAAACGATTCGTTGATGTCGATGCAGATTTGATCGAGGATGATCCGGCGCGCAAGAAGACAACACCCGAGGAAGAGAGGAAATACAGAGACCCAGCGTCGACCGAGAGCCTGATGAGCGGATCATCTTTCCATAAGCTGAATAAGGCTGTTGCCGAGCTTATTGATGGGTTCAGCATGGTCTCTTTTCTCAAGCTGGATGTCCAGGACGAGGACAGTCTGGGTGCTGTGCTAAGCTATATCGACGACGCTATCCAGTTCCACGAATCGCAGGAGCCCAAGGAGCCGAAAGACATGGAAGTAGAAGCCGACATGTGAGGAACTATAAGAGTGGCTGCGTTTGCATTGAAGGTGTTTTGGCTATGGAAGGCATATTTGGCATTTGAGGGCGTTCACGACTTTGAAAATATCGGGAATTACTTGGATGGGTCACGGACGACACGAGCAGAGATACGATACCCAATACACTCATACATATGACACATCACATCCATCTGTCATGCCACAGGGTACTAATCGGAAAAGGTCCAAGCCTAGAATTCTTTTTCTGTACTCGTATCTCTTCGGAGAAAGACACTTGCTTATGACCGTATTACGAACTATACAATGTCGTGACTCCACGGCCGCTTCAACGTACCGTACAGGTGGTAAGCCGACACAAAGCCTGAAGCTCGGGATTTGACCCTCATCTATGCATTTATATCCGAGTTATGACCTGACTTGGACCACCAGATAGCTGTTCCAGATTCTTCTTGGTCATTGTCCGGCAACTCGAGTTTTGTTCGGAGCCGCACGGCGTTTTCGCCCGAGAAGGGTGACTGAAGGACGCCACCCATGATCTTGTTCTGCAGCTCACAGACGTATGTCGTTGCGCATGAGTGCAGCTATCGAACACGCTCCCTTGTACCACGTCAGTTGTTCAATGCCAACTGAGATGTAGCATCCATGGTATTCATGGCTCAGGATATCAACATCTTGAGCTTGTGCCACATATCTTCACCTGCGCCGGCTCCTGTCTCCACTAGCCTGCTGCGCTGCCTGCTGAGCAGCCTCGTGCCCCAGCTCACTGCGTAATGCTTTAAGCTTAGCTTCTACCTCTTCCTTCTTCTTGGCCTCTTTGTCCAATTGCTTCTCCACGTCCTCCATCTTTTGCTTGAAGAAATCTTGTAGTGCCTGCTCTTGTTCCTGACTGAAGGGAACTTCATCGCCTCCCTTCTCTGGCAGTTGAGCGCTCCGCTCGCCATTGGGCAGGCCGCGCCTAAGTCTTCCGTTTGCGCCCAGCGATGCCTTCTTCGAGCCGCCCTTACCGGCAGGTATGAGGTAGTTCCACTGGTCTTCAGATGTGAGGGCGTCGAAGAGGGCTTCGGTGGGCTCGTTGAACTGCACAACTTCGAGAAATTCGGAGCGCACACAACCTGACCGTTCCTGCTCTGCTTGCATTTTGTCGTCACCATACTTTTCCAGCTGCAAGAAGTGTTGTCGGTATTGCGCCTTCTCGCCTGAGATAGGCTGGAAGTGCAGTCTTATGTCGATGTTGAAGCCTCCCCATCCTGTCTCGGTCACCTCAAACGGCGGCTTCTCGACCATGCGCAGCGGGTTTTCGTATGTGTTGAAAATCTTGAATGAGACTTTGTTGAGCCATGCTCTGATATCAGGATCGCCGTCGGGTACTCGCACGTATACGGTCCAGCGCTTGGTGTGGTCGTCTGGCACGCCCTTGGGGCGGTCGGGGTGGCCTACTGGGGGCAACTGCCAGGCTTCGGAACCGATTACTGCGTAAATGAGTATATATCCAGGCACATGAGCAGCGTCATGTCTTACTGAGGTTCCGGCTGATGCGCTTGTTCTGCCCATCATCAGTATGCGCGTACAGCTATATCAAAGCGGTCGACTTGCCTTGACGCGCTTGTTGGAGGCTGGCGCAGGCATTTTGGCGCAGTCGCGTGAATGTACTGCCAACAGGCACGATGTTATGCTATTCACAAAGAGAATATGCAAAGTGATTCGTGCAAGTGATGGTGTCGTGTATTTTGTCAAAGGTCAAACTACAATTCGCGCTGGTATGCAGGAACGGAAGCTAACAGCTGATCCTTGTCAGCCCCAGGCTCCACCTTATTTGCTCTGCCCGGTACCACCTCCCTTCGCGTCTCTTGTCCTCTCGTTGTACAACTTGTCTTGCTTTCCAGCATTCGGCTTGCCTTCGATCCTGTCCAACGAGTCTTCAATCAAGCCGATGTGACCGCGTAGTGTTCCTTCAATCTCGTCCATGCGCGCCTCCTGTTCCTCTTCCATGCGGTCCAGTTTCTTCTCCACCCGAGAGCCTGTAGCATCCAGATGTTAGAATCGAAAGATGACGACTTCACGATAGAAGGGAAACATGAAAGATGGCGTGATACCTAGATAAGTCGCAACGCCGGCTACTACGGTGAGGTTTGTGCCGACCAGAACGAGGTCGTTCTTGAAGAGGTTCCGGATTGCCTGCATAGTTCGATTGGCGGAGCTTGCTGTTGTCTGGATAGATGTAAGATGCAATACAGCAGACACAATATCGAATCGCATCTGGCCCTTTGACGGTTACTCGACACTAATATAAAGCATCATGACGACATCGACTTTCTTCTGATAGGTAGAATTTTGAGCGCGATGCGCATTACAACGCCAAAATGCCTTTAGCTGGTGCACATTGTCTGATACACAGATATATCTCATTGACAATGCATGTTTGATTATGAAGCGGCCCTGTATACAAGAAGCGGAAGTCTATAGCTCCTCCGCACAGATCCCTGCCTCGATCTTACGCGACGCGCGCGATGTGGAGTGACATCAGCACTCGAGCTTCCCATCACTTTCCTACCAAACAATTGTGTGACTCCAATTGCTCACCCACCAACCATCATATAGCACAACAATGGCCTCGACAACAGCCCAGGCTGTAAAGAAGAAACTCGTCGTATGCGGCGGCAATGGCTTCTTGGGTATGTAACCCAGAAAAACTCCCAGATGATTGGAGTAACAGCTCCATGCCAGCACATCAGCTAGCTAACATGGCACACAGGTAGCCGGATATGTAGAGCCGCAGCACATAGGGGCTGGAGCGTAACCTCAATCTCGTAGGCCTATTCTTTCCCTCTTTCGAATCATCCCGAGCCTTTGTTGACAAGATCCTAGGCGTTCAGGCACTCCACATTGGTCCTCCGTCTCTTCCTCACAAACACCACCGGACTGGTCAGACAAGGTGTCATGGCAAAAAGGCGACATCCTTGACCCCGAGTCGTATACCAAACACCTCGAAGGCGCAGATGCGGTGATACATAGCATGGGCATATTACTGGAAGCAGATTACAAAGGCGTTGTCAGTGGACGGGAGAGTCCCATCAAGGGTCTGCAACGGGCATTTAGCAAGACCAAGGCTGGAACCCAAAACCCGCTGACACGGAAGGAAGGGGAGAAGTTGCGGCCGCAGGAGAGTGATGGACAACTCACATACGAAATTATGAATCGCGACACTGGTATGATGCATTCTCTCAAAGTCCCTTATCAGTACATACAACTAACCATGCTGCGCAAACAGCCGTATCCCTAGCCAAAGAAGCCTCCACACGCAAAGTTCCGACCTACCTCTACATCTCCGCTGCAGCAGGCACACCCATCCTCCCAGCACGCTATATCACGACGAAACGCGAGGCCGAATCTCTCATCGCCTCCACCTTCCCTACCATGCGATCCATCTTCATTCGCGCGCCATTCATGTACGACAGTAGCCGCACATTCACCCTCCCCATTGCGGCAGCGGGCGGCGTAGCAGCCATGATAAACAGTGCAGTCGGAGGACGGTTGACGTGGCTAATGGGAGCAGGAGGCATCAAGCCTTTGAAAGCGGATTTGGTGGGTGAGGCGGTCGTGGAAGCACTGGAAGATGAGGAGGTCAGAGGGCCGGTCGAGGTACCAGAGATTGAGAAGCTGGGCACGAGAGCGTGGAGGAAGAACATGCTATGAAGTTAAACAAGACACTTCGCCAAATGGCGGAACAATTTTTGATTCTACCACTTTAAAAGCGGCAATCGCATCTATCTACCGTACCGGAGCAAAGTCCCAGTACTTGTGGTCTACACAGGCGTGCTACAACGAAGCTCTCTTTCTGAGCCAAGCTCAGAGGCTTATAGAACACACCGTAGTGTGTACCGCTACGGTAGTTTGTAATCCAAGATACGACTTGGAAAGAAAGGACTCGAAGCTTTCTGAATGACGACCACAATACTGCGGTGACCTGAGTTTGGCTGGGCTTCTCCTCTTCATGCTTCTCCCACCATCGCATGCGAGCAAGCGCATATACTTGCGCGCTGTAGGTGTTCCCTGCAATCGCTGAAAGACTCAAAGGTCGGTTGATATCCAAGCTCACTTCTTACGGCCACCGCCTTGACTGGTCAGTTTCTTCTTCATGTGTTTCGGCATCTTCTCCTTCCTCTTCTCCCGCTTCTCTTCCTTAACGGCCTTCTTGTGTGCGACCTTCTCGTCATGATCCACGTGTTTCTTTCCACGACTTGGGCCCTTTTCGAAGATACTTTGATCAACCTCAGACGAGCTACCATCATCCGAGCCATCGTCTGAATCCTCGCCTTCAGATTCGTTGTTAACGACTCTGTCAGCAAGGAGGGCTTGGTATGGAAGGTCGGAGCCAGCACCAGCATTGACAAGCTCAGCATCGCGTTCAATATCGTAGACTTGTTCGAGTGTCTGTGGGATATATTGGTTGCGGAAGACATCGTCGTCTTCCTCTTCCTTCTTCCTTTCCTCCTCGGTCAACGGCTTCTTGTTCAACAAGCTACGGATGCTGTCTTCCATCTGTGGTTGCTCTTGAACAGTCTTGGCACCTGATTCACTTGTGATGTAGGCATAAGCCTTGCGCTCACTAAGCGTTTCAACATTGCGTGAGCGGAAGAAATCAGATACGTTCTTGATATCCATACGCAAAAACTCGAGAGAGCGGGGATGGTCGTGTTCGACGGCTTGCGAGACATCGATGATCCATTGCTTGCCTTCGTGGTACAGGACGTTGTATTCGCTCAAGTCGGCATGGACGAGGCGACATGTCTGGTACATTATGCGCATGTAGGCCAGCATCTCGAGATAGAGACTGGTCCATTTTGCGTCTTCTTCCTCTGCTGTAAGACCCTCGAAGCGCACATCCTTTAGACGAGGCGCGGCCTTGCCCTTGCGGTCGCCCACAAAGCCCATGACAAGAACGTGGTTTCGCAGCGCATGAGCCATTGGTGACGGGATACCTGCATCGTGTATTCTGGCCAGATTCCTGCGCTCCTTGTCTGCCCACATCCGTACCATGGCACGGTTGTTGCTCTTGTTGTATCCCTGTCTGAAGCGGAACTCGCCTTCGACGTACTTGGCGCGGTCCTTGAAGACAAGGATGGACGTTTTGTATACCTTGACGGCGCGGTGGATGGACTCGGCATCATCATCCGTAGCTTCTACCATAGCATGGTAGACATTGGCTTCTTTTCCTGTGGAGATGACACCGTGAATCTCTGAGATTGCGCCGCGGTTTATGAGCTGGAGCAGGATCATCTGAGTCCTTCGGTCCAACACTTGTTCAGTTGTCGCGCGGTCTGCCTTGTCTTTGTTCCTTGCGTTGCCCCCCGACGCGCCCGTCATGTTCCCCGTGAGGCGAATCTTGCCGGCATGCTTTGATAGCGATGCGACTTGATCATCGATGGAGGCATTTGTGTTGGCTGAAGGCTTCTGTGGGTTCGACTTGGGCTTGTGATCGTCTGGTATGTTCGTATCGTTGAGCTTTCGCTGGCGGTTGTATGCTTTGGTAAAGTCGTGGTGGTCGCCCGATATCAGTTCAGGCACTATTTCATCGTCGTCATCAAATAAGTCGTCAATTTCGTTATCCTCATCGTTGGTTGTTGTCTCTGCCGGTGCAGATTCTTCGACTTGATCGACTTGGTTCGCTTGCTCGACTTGTTCGGGCTGTTGCGTTGGCAGCTCAACTCCTCCGTCGGTGGTGGCCATGGTTGGTTGTGTGGTATATTCTTTCGACGCAAAAAAAAAAAGTTAGGCAGGGTCTCGTCATGTGAATGATTCACGAATTTGCCCCACGAAGCCCACGAAGCCCCGCGGTTCTGCCCAAGGCGGTGAACTCCATCGAAAGACTAGCCGGTCTCGACGCGCGCTCTTCGTATTCACGCGCGTCTGCGGCGAGACGATTGCAACCGGTCCCAACCAAGGGATGTCACAAAACCCCTGAAAATGTGAGGTAACGCATCAACACCGAGCCAAGAATGGCACGTCGCTATCCGACCTGAGGTGATGTCATGCTCGGATGATCGACGACTACAGGATAAGATAGGAACGCGTATCGCTGCTCATCGCAATCTGGGGGGGGACTGTCAGTCTGTTCCACTTCGAGTGCGCAGCAACACAGCCACAGCGAACAGGCATGTCCAACTCAGCCCAAAGCAAAATAATTAGTGGCTTGTCAGAAGAAACACAGGCCAGGCACATCCTCGCTCTGATAGGCCTAGACGGAGTCGCCGTCATAACGGGCAAGGCGGCTGGACTATTCTGACACACCCTAGTCTCCACCGCCGGCTTGTGAAACACTTCAGGAGGGCCATCACGACCACTCAGGTCTGCGCAGCACCAGAATTGGACACACCATGGAAGGGCTGCTGATGCCGCATGGACTCGTCCCATGGTCGCTGTGCTTATCCCGGTGGGTACCGAGATTGCTTCGCAAACCATTTCGCGACTTTTAATAGTCGGAGCTCCTCTGGCACGCAGTATTGCTTTGCATTCTTTATCCGACCTTTTTATACCTCACACTCTCTCAGTCAGACGTCTGGACGCCAGGACGACCGCATTCATTACATTCCTTTTCCCAACACTCTCTTTGCAGAGCTTTACATTCTTTCACTACTACCGCACCGTACGCATTGTTGACATTGTGTCTTTGCGCGTGAACTTCCCATCACAGTAACGGGCTTTTCTGTGAAGACTACATTCTCTCGAGCTCAGAAGCCTTTCTTTTGCGCATTAGCAACTTGATCTCCGAACTTCTCAACCGCGTCCAAACTCAAGAAAATGCATTTCTCTACATACACTACGGCGAGCGTGCTGGCTGCTTTGGCCACAGCTCAGACCTTCACCGATTGCAACCCCATGGAGAAGAAGTGCCCCAACGACCCCGCCATGCCTCAGACCTGGGAAACAGACTTCACTGCTGGCAAGGATGCTATCAAGGGCTGGAAGCAGACAGCTGGAACTCTTAACTATGTACCCGAGGGTGCTGAATTTACTGTTGCCAAGAAGGGCGATGCCCCTACCATCGGATCCGAGGCCTATCTCCACTTTGGATACGTCGAAGTTGTCATGAAGGCAGCCCCTGGCGTTGGTATCATCTCCTCCATTGTTCTCCAGTCCGACAACTTGGATGAGGTTGACTGGGAATGGATTGGAGGTGTAGACAGCCGCGTCCAGCAAAACTACTTTGGAAAGGTATGAAAAGAAAGTCAACTGGTTTCATCTTTCGACTAACATGAGAATCAGGGCAACACTACTACCTATGATCGCATGATCGAGGCTGATGCTCCCAACAACCAAAACGAGTTCCACAAGTACGCTCTCAACTGGACTGCTGAGTCACTTACCTGGATCGTTGATGACAAGCCCACGCGTACTTTGAACTTTGCTGATGCCAATGGCGGCAAGAACTACCCGCAGACGCCTTGTAATGTGCGCCTTGGAAACTGGCCAGGTGGTGACTCCAAAGATGAAGGTACTCGCCAGTGGGCGGGTGGCAACGTCACTTACGACGATGCGCCCTTTACCATGACCGTCAAGTCGATCAAGGTTATCAACTACTCGCCCGGAAAGGAGTACGAGTGGACAGACAAGACTGGTGACTTCAAGTCTATCAAGGTCATCGATGCCGGTAACACAGAGGGTGCTCCTGTCAACTCTGTAGCTATCGAGGCCTCCGCTACTGCTCCTGCCGCTCCGCTCGAGTCTGGTGTCGACGCACCATCCGCTACTGGCGAGGCTGGAAACGGTTCTAACGCATCCACCACCTGCACTGAGAGCGAGCAGTCAGGTGCGACACCTGCCCCAGTTGACGGCGCTGCTGGCGGCAAGTCTGACTTCAACTACCCCACTGGTGGTGCAGCTGTTCCTCAAAAGTCAGGCAGCCCTGACTCTCCCTCTGGCGATTCTCCCTCTGGCAGCGATAACGGAGATGAGCCATGCGAGTGTGGCACTGCCACCGTTACCGTCACTGGTGCTCCTCCTGCTATCACTGACGCACCACCCGCCACTTTCTCGACTGAATACTCTGCCGTCCTCCCTTCGGATGTCGCTTCATCTGTTGCAGAGACACCATTGGCCAGCACTGCTCAGACACCTATTGTCACTTCTGCAGCACCTTCGTCTCCTCCCTACCCAACTGAGTCCGGCATTGAGATTGACACTAGGTCTGCACCTGGTGTCGTCGTACCCTCAGCGCCCACCGGTGCCCTACCCCAGCCATCTGGCAACGCCACCTTCTCTGCGCCCCCAGCAGAGTTCACTGGTGCTGCAAGCCACATGAAGGCCAGCGGTCTCGTCGGTGCTGTTGTAGGAGCTGTCTTGCTGGCCTTCTAGAGTCACTTGATAGAGTTTCGATAAGACGAAACGTTAGACTCGCATTGGGATTGTAGTGGGATTATGTTGGTGTAAATACTTTCAAGTGGCCAAGCGTTAGATACGCATGCCGCATTCATGGCGATGAAGAAATATTCTCGTCTTAACTTCTTTCTTCCTCCACTTCTTCGTCTTCTTTTTCTTTTCTCACGTAGACATTGCATAGCTATATGGATGGCACAAAACGGTACAAAATAGTACATAACGCTACATTGATGTCAATGAATGAAAACATCATCTTCAAATATGAAAACCTCATACATCTATGAATCCCATTTTGATATCACATTTTTGCCTTCGATCCCTTATTTTTGCTCCAATTCATGGCAATGCAGAGGAAAGCCTGGAAACTGTGCTCCGAGATGATCGAGTGTTCTTCAGCTCACTCCACGGCAATCATTCACTACCACCGTCCCATCCATGACCACTCACACGCCATTCAAATCTCCCTAACTACTACCACCCTACCCGGTATAAAAAGTTCATGCCGCCTTGCAGCATGCGATTCATCACCTATCACTTCCTGTCCATCGCGCCTTTTGCTGCTCTTCTGCAGATGACACCATTTCCTCTTCCTAACCCATCTCTTTGGTTTTGGTATCATGGATGTGGTTCGACAAGGACGGGGAACAACGACTAGCGACGGAATGAAGATGCTACGTAGAAGCTTTGTTCCGACGACCATGATACATGCACAGCATTTACAGAAGGGGATCTTGTACCATGCGCAGGTTTGTTCATGTCCTGACTCTGCTTCTTCGTGCGAAGTTTCGTGAGAGATCTCATGCTCATCCTCAGCGACGTACTCGGCTAGACGCGCAGATGGCGACTGCGGTATTCGTGCTGGTATCCGCGCTGCTTGCTTCACCGGCTTGTCCTGCTTTGCTTGTTTGCGCTGCTTGGCTCGTTTCTCATGCTTTGCCCGTCGTTTCCGTCGTTCCTTGTCGTCCTGCTTGTCCCAAATATCCCTCCTACCCCATCTCGTTCGCCGATGCATTCCCTCAAGTAATGAACCCGGGATGCAATGTAGATGTGCCGGGCGATTATAGGGATTGATGGGAGCATTTGGTGTGCTGAACGGTGTTGGCGTGACGGGCAGCAGGTAGGAGAATTCAGTATCTGGGCGACATGTTGGAGGTGACGTGGCAGTGTTGCGGCCTGAGAAACGCGCTTCGTGGTATAGCCTTGACTGGTTTGTGGCAGGGTGAGTTTGGTGTTGGATTTTCGGGGAGGCGGATGGTGATATAGTCTCAGCTTTGTACGCTCCTGCAGGAATATGGCGTCCAGACAATAGTTCTGCTTCCTCCTTGAACTTCACGACCGATCGTGGTGAAGGCGAACACAAATCGCAAGAGGCCTCAGTGGGCAGCTTCTTTGTGTGTATGCCAGCAGATCGATCACAATCATGGCATAGAAGCGGCATGCCATCCTCACTTCCCAAAAGTTCATCGCTCTCTCTTTTGACTATCATACACCGGTAAAACTCCCGAGCAAGTGGAGTTGGCACACGGAGTGGCGATCGGGACCATGCCTCTTGAAATTCGGAGAAGGAAGGGAAGCGTCGCGGTGTTTCGGTATTGACTATTACTGGTACTACATCTTCTTCAGCATCTTCGTCGACATCTTCTTCGACATCTTCGACCTTGACTTTGACTGGAGTTTGAGATGGCGATCTCACACGGGAAGTCTGGCGTCGTGGTATCTCAAGACTGGCTGCAAGTGGAGCACCATCTTCAGTCTTGATGCGGATTGGTATACGTGAGGGTGTTCCTTGGTGTTGCATTGTGCCGCTCCTTAACTCCGGTCTCTAGATTGAGTGCTCGCGACTTTCCTGACAATATTAGAGATTCGGAGAACGGAATGTGGCGTATGATACAAATTCCAGACCACGAAGGCTTGATGGATCAGTGAGGATACAATTTTCTGTATGCGCGCCTGAATAGTGACCGAGCGGCGATAAAGCTTAAGGAGTGCTTTAGTTGCAGCTGGCTTCGTAAGGTTGAGAAGCCTCTGGGGGTTTTTTGTTCATCTACTGGACATGGTGTGTACGTGCACGAATGATACACGGTACTGAGTGGAGTCGTGTGTTCAGAGTCCAATCAAGTCTTTGTAGATTTGAGAACATGTCATCTCTCGGTATTGCGCACCCCGATATGGTTGATTGATCAACTCTGGCTAAAATTATAGACACGTGAACAGTGTGATAAAGACGCTGTGACAGCGCGAAAGACGGGGGTTTAACGTGGTCGCGAACCTGCTTTCACTACACATAGTACGATACAGTTACCCATCAACCAGCCATTGACACTGACAGTGATCTGCGCGCACCTCTTGTCGTTGCTCTCGATCTCCGGTACGTTTTGTGGATCGTGACATGGAGGCTGCAAGATTACCCTGAGAGTCTTCTAGGCGCAACGCTATCTCTTCTGAGAGTGGAGCCAGGGTGCCGTCCGATCCCATAGTCACCTTCTGACAATAAGGCGTCTTGCCACCTGGCGCCCATTCTTCAAATAATCTCACGGAGTAAGGGAAGTCCGAAAGTCCTGCAGTCTTAGTTTTGGCGGTATCCGGTGCAGTGCTTGTCACTCTAGTGACGTATATGTAACCTTCAAGCAGGGTCTCGTTGAAGACGCACTGCCACAGGTTACTCCCAGGCTGGAACGGATCACCCAGCGCCGAAGGATGGGCTTGTAACTGCCCATCGACGGGGAACTCATCCTCGGCGAGCAACACGACTTTGTCGTAGGTAGTTCGAAAATGATAGGTAGACCCATCTTCGTTCCTAGCACCTGCAACCACTGACAATTCCAAGGGCGGGATGTTTGGTATGCCCTCGCCGTGACGAACGCTGGTGTCGTTGGATGGTGACCCTACCGCTATCATAGTTGAAGTTTCGTTGCCTGCCGGGGCAGGGAGTACACTGAGTTGAAAGGTTGAGTTGGATGCGCACTTCCATGGATTCAACTGATTGTCGCTTGCTAGGCATGCCGAATCCTGTTGTTGTGGAAGTTGAATCGGTAGCGCAAAAATACCACGGCGAATACCGCTGGTGTAGTTGTCACTTGGAGAGCCGTCACTCGCAGTGTATACAGCAGCGCTTCGATCCCTATAGGTACGTCGTTAGCGGCATCCTAAAACTGGGCATTGGAGTAGTTACCTGATAGGAGATTGATCTTTTATAGCTAAAAGACTCAACCCAATCGTAAGAAGCATCATGAATTGTATCGCCAACAGGGCCAAAATGCGTTGCTGTCGAGACATTCGATGCCACATGCATCTTGGAAGATTGGGCAGAGGCTTTTCATGCGCATCAATCGCGTTACATGACGGCACAAAAACCTCTTTCTCATTTTGATCTGGGCTGAGTATGGGGGCGGAAAGAATGTTGCTCCTCTCGAACGGAACAATCTCAATTCCATCCTCGATCTTTTTGAGAAGGCATGTTCCAGAGTTAACTCCAGGTGTGTCTGTGGACTGAGAGCTATCGTAATTAGATGGAAAAGTTGTATAGATACTCGGAAGTGGTTGAATACTGTTGATAGACCGGTGAGGCAGCCGCATGAATGCAACCAAGATATTTTGGGTTGATATTAATAGAGAGTATCCACGTTGTCGGACCAGCCAGACACTCAGAATAGTAAAAAGCGAATGGTGGAACAAAGAGCGGACGAAAATAACAACTTATACATACCCAGATTTCAGCTCGACATAGAACATATAAAGCTTCGTCCCTAGACCATCAAGCTGTTGAGCCCAATGTGCCGAGCTTGCATATCGCTTTGACTACGCCGTACTCATACCAAAGGTCGACATCCAATCGCAGGTCTATTACATCCAAGGATGATTGGTTGCCGGTGCATCCTTGCTATAAAATTAAGGATGGATTGAGTAAAGAGGCTGAAAGTGTATTCGACGTCGATTTTGGGTATTGGCTCTGCGCTCCCCATAAGGGCTGTAGGTGGGCCGTGCAATAGCCGCCCATACTCACGTCGGTCGTTAAAACGGCTATCACGTCTGTAAAGTCAAGCTCTAGTCCGAATACGAACGGCTGCCGCGATAAAGCGGAATCATGAAAAGTTGAATGGCTTCTGCGCAATCTGCAAGCATGGTGCCTGCCGACAAGTTTGCATTTAAAGCATCGTCAGTATGTTCCGCGCGATGATGGTCCGTTCCAATACAAACCCTACGCGTGGAATCCCGGCCTGTATGCTCGCTTGAACAAGCAGCAGGAAGCGTTGTACTGCGCGTTTGTGTGTGTGACCACGCGCGAGGGCGTGTGTGTATGTGACGGGTAGCCGCTGCCCAGACGTGACGTAGGTCGCGTCGAGGGCCCCAAACAGAGCTACGTTATCAACCTGCATCTGTTTCGCTCTCTTGCGATATGGCGCTAAGTTTGAATAATTGCAACGCGAACTTGAGCTTGTAGTTTGTCGGCTTCTGTCATGGAATGCAAAGTACGGGGACGCGTTCTGGTAAATTATGTGGGTGGTTGGGTTAGCGCTCCCGAGCGGGCAGGATCGACCCGAAGCGCGACAGGACCCGGCCATCGTCCTCATGAGCATCCAATGACATCCTATGTGTCCACTCTCCAGCTTTCTTGAGTGAGGAAGAAAACATGGTCAAATTACGCGACTGCGTTGCCTTCCCTGAGACGCAACAACTCCAGCCCTGCTTTTATCAGAAGTTGTTCAAACCCCAGAGTGGACGCGGAACCCGTCAGGTTTCGTAAAAATTGCCCTGTTTCGAAACAAGAAACAATGCACCAGCGTCATCTCACCATTGTTTCGAAGACAGGCAATCTTCAGGATTTTATACTAGATTGTGCATGTCTATGGCTTTGATACAGCTGACGTACATGGTAACCCTGGCGTCAATCGATGAGATTCTAAACATGCCAAGCTGAACAGTTAGGAGTCTAGGCATCAAAATGTCCACATGCTTGCTGACGATACCATGCTTTCTGCTAATATTAGGACATATGAGAGAAGTAGCTTGCCTGAAGCGTCCAAGGCTGTGCGGCAACTAAGCTTGAGTGGTGCTGATCTCATCAATCAGCCCCGAATGTGTGCCACCATGACGGGAGAAAAGGCTCAGCCCCAGATGTGAAGCGTATAACACCTGACGATGAACCGTGGGGAAACGTGTTTGTCGTTCACTCTCGATCGGTATACCAAATTATAACAAACAATTCGACAAGTATGGGCATATTCCAACGATCTTCTCGCGCAGCGCCCACATCTCAGGCATCGGTGGCTAGACAACATGGTATCCATTGGCCACTTTTCGCTTCCAGCGCCTTGCTCTGCGCTCTTTCAATCGTCATTTTCAGTTTGGTCAGTTCCATGGTAGCATGGCTGCTGGACCAGAAGCATCATGTGCACACATATCAAGTGGACTGGCCTGGAAATCCCACCCAAATCAATGTTGAGCCTAAGAATCTGTGGACCGACCAAGGGCATGAAAGCAACGGCCTAGCAGTGTATGGATTCTTCTTGGGCATCTTTGGCATGTTGACGGCATGGAGGATGAGGAAGGCTGGCCAGGTATGTCGAATGAAACTCTTCCCACCTACTCGGACAGCATGCTGATCGTTGTAAGCAGGCCTCAAGAAGCCTTACCGCTCTCACCACCTTGCTGCTGATCGGTACCATTTTCAGCCTATCAGCCTTCATCTTCGTCTTCGTAGTCACATACCAGACGACTGGCCAGCGGATTCGCGAGCCCATCGCCATCAACGCAGCCGGCCTCAACTACCCGGCTGAGAAATGGACACCTGAGACGTGGTTCAGGGCTATCCTCGATCTTCCCCTAGCCCATGGAGCGCAACACGCTCAAATCAAAAGCAGGGTTAGAAACATGGAAGCGTGGCGGTGGATTTTGCTTCCCCTTCTACTTGTGTATATAACCGCATCGTACATTGTAGTAACGACTTGGTTACGGCAGCGAAGGAGTACGACAGTACGGGCAAGCTCTGCTGGTTCTGTGGAGAAGACAGGAGCTCGATGAATAGGTACATGGGTTGATTGCACATGGCGGTGTCACACTCCAATTTTAGCGAGTTAGCAAGGCAGGTGCGAACCTCGGCGCGTGACAAAAAAGTCCCCCACCAAGCTTCAACTCGCTTCAACACACACGAACACAACTGCACCTACACCTACACCTTCACATACGCGCGCCCTCTCCTTCTCTCTCTGACAAGAGGCTTCGCCATGGGCTGGCTCACCTACCTCGCCATGCCCGCCGTGCTTGTCATAGCCATGCGCCTGCTCTCGCTCGTGCTGCCCGCGAAGCCCGCCCAGCTGGTGTCGTACTACGCCTTCGCAATAAGCTCCTTTACACTCATGTTGAGCTGCGCCCTGTACGGCACACTTGTGGCTATACCTCTACGCATGGTGGGCTATGGTGGACTCATTCAATGGACGGTTGCGCGAGCGTTCAAGTGGTGCATGTGGTTGGGCACTGGCGTGACGTTTCGAGTGACCGGGAGCATGAAGAAAGAGGGAGGTCTTAGTGGAGAAGACGCCCTCAAGGACCGTCCAGCAGTATTCGTGGGCAATCATCAGACGTGGGTTTCCAAGGCTCTCTTGCCAGGCCAAGCCTCGACCGCGGTGCTGACATTTTTTATAGCGAACTCGATGTCCTCATGCTCGGCTGCATGTTCCCAAAATACACCTCCGTGACGGCCAAGAAGTCGCTCAAGTTTGTGCCTCTACTGGGCTGGTTCATGGCGCTCTCCAAAACCGTCTTTATCGACCGCGCAAACCGCACCTCGTCTCGCGCTGCATTCGACACGGCTGCTCACACGATGAAAACAACACGCCAGAACGTCTTCATCTTCCCTGAAGGCACGCGATCATATGCCTCAAAACCTGATCTCCTACCCTTCAAGAAGGGCGCGTTCCATCTTGCAGTACAAGCACAAGTTCCCATTGTGCCCGTCGTTTGTGGTAACTACTACCACGTTCTGGACGTCAAGGGCAAGAGATTCTCCCCAGGTGTGGTGGATGTTACCGTCTTACCGCCAATACAAACGAAGGGTTTGACGGCAGAGCACGTAGATGGCCTGGTCAAAAAGACAAGAGATGCCATGATGGACGAGCTGATTCGATTGAGTCACGTCTCAGGTGTGGGAAATGGCGAGCCGCTCCCGAGATCCAGTGGAGTCGATGGACAGGAACGTAGTGAGCTAAGGAAACGGAATTAGCATTTGCACACTTGGCGCAAACGGCGTTAGGTGATGCTTGATATACACATTGATATCCCAAAGACGATGACGTCGGACTGAGTGACACGTACATAATCTTATTTTGAGTAAACGAAAAGCGATTCTAGTCCAACATAATGCGACAGCATGTTTTCCAGAAGCTCGTTGCCTCATCTCGTTAGCATGATGACTTGAAATCTGGCAAGTCACACCAATACAAAAACGTTTATATTCTCAAAGTTGCACAGGTAATGCACTGGAACAGTCGCCAAGTTTTTCGTTACACCAGTAGTTTTGTAGCACGACGAAAATCTCTAGGACGGACCGCGTATGTAAGATATAACTAAATGGATACGAGCTTCATGGAAGTGCAGAAGGGTTGAAGCTCGGCAAACTTTCCCCGCATACAGGAATGCTCGGAGTGAGCTACCCCACGGCTACCCCTCCTATTACCCAATGAGGCATTCCGTTCTGGCTAGACGCGTGAATGTAGGACATCGTGTACTTGCATATTAGCACATATAAATATGCTCTGGCGGCCACTCGACTATTGCCCTGTTGTGGTCATCCATCTGAGCAAAGTCAAGAGCAAGATTCGAGAAAGCCATGGCAGCAAGACAACCGGGTTTAGTCAATGAGACAAGAGTCGGACAGGCGTTCAGTGTCAAAGGACAAAGTGCTATAATCACAGGAGCTGGTTCAGGTATTAACTTTTCTTTTGCAGCTCTGCTTCTCAGCCATGGCTGCTCTGTCCTCATAGCCGATCTTTCACTTCGACCCGAAGCGGAGAAGTTGGTTCAAGAATACAGTACCAAAGAACAGGATAAACCACGAGCTGTCTTTCAGAAAACCGATGTGACGGACTGGCCGCAGTTGAAGCGCATGTTTGAGGTCGGCGTCCAAGAGTTCGGAAAGATCGATATCGTGTGTCCAGGGGCAGGCGTCTACGAACCCCATTGGAGTAACTTCTGGCATCCTCCAGGCGTTGCCGGCAGCGCAAGTAGAGACCAGGTCGACGGAGGACGATATGCAAGTATCGACATCAATATTACCCACCCGATCCGTACGACGCAGCTCGCCATCTCACACTTTCTTAACCCACCTCCCGGCGTAGAGAAAGTGAGTGCGCAAAATCCAAAGAGAGTCGTCATCATCTCCAGCATTGCCGGCCAAAATCCCAATTTGCATGCGCCCATCTACACGGCCGCTAAGCACGCCATGAACGGCTTTGTACGCTCCTTAGGAACGCTCGAGGCAGAAATGGGACTTCGCGTCAACGGCGTGGCACCTGGCGTCATCAAAACACCCCTGTGGACCGAACATCCAGAAAAAATGACGTTCATCGATGAGACCAAGGACGCGTGGGCAACGCCCGAGGAAGTGGCCGAAGCCATGTTGCGATTGTTAGAAGAAACTGAGCTGGGCGGAGGCAAGATCCTTGAGGTAGGCGCGAAGCAGACGAGGCTAGTAGAGGCATTCTTACGTATTCACTGACCGTGTTGAATTGTGTATGTATGCTAACAGCTGGTGATATAGAATGATCCGGGACCGAGTGGAGCAGGGCATACAGTTAGCAATCTTCAGGAGCAGTATAGCGAGGTGTATGGGTGGCTGCAGCAAGATGGATGGGGTGGGGGGATTGGCAAGTCGAAGTTGTAATGTTCGACTGTTATCGTAGTATGAAGAAATTGCCTCATCCACAGTATGCTACCAAGACCATCGTGATAGGTCCAACATGGCTCGAGCGCGGAAGTCAGAAGAAGAGGATCGTTTTCTCCGGATCGGACTTTTGGCCGAACCTGCCCTGGAGGCATTCGCGGGAATTTGCAGCCCGCGGCTAAAAACATACGATACAGTGAATGCCTTTGCTCCGGTGTGCTGTAGAGTGTTGGCTAGAACTCGCGACAAACAAGCTTCTTCGTAATGATGAATTGCACGTGGATGGCTCGGACGACAGTGCTCCGATGCGCCAAAATTTCCGTCGCTAGTGGTTACCAGATACGGTGAGAGGGCTGACTGAGCGAGCGCCTTCTGCCGTGATTGCCACTTGGTGACCCAGTGTGACGCTGTTTTTCCATGGAGGGGCCCGGAAGGATGAGGGGCGCTACGTATGAAAGAGCCCCACCGCTGCAGCTGTCCCAACAGACACTTTTGCTCTCCAACCTCATACCACTTCATAAGACACTCACATCACCTGTAACATCAAGTGCACACATAGACACTTGCATTCCACTTCACATTCCCCATCTACACACATATACCCACCCACAATGCCTAGCTCCCTCGACCAACTCAAGGCCTCTGGCACCGTAAGTATTCTCACAGTCGCAACACCAAGTACGCGGAAGAATTATATCTAACCAATTCGCCCTACAGACCGTCGTCGCCGACTCTGGTGACTTCGCTACCATCAAGAAGTACCAGCCCCAGGATGCGACCACCAACCCCTCGTTGATTCTCGCCGCGTCTAAGAAGCCCGAGTACGAGAAGCTCATCGACGCGGCCGTCGCATACGGCAAGAAGAACGGCACAGACCTCGAGAACCAGGTCGACACCACACTTGACAACCTGCTGGTACAGTTTGGCAAGGAGATCCTCCAGATTGTCCCCGGCAAGGTCTCAACAGAAGTCGATGCGCGCTTCTCTTTCTCCACAGAGCAGTCCGTAAACAAGGCGCTGCACATCATCGATCTCTACAAGGAGATTGGCATCGACAAGGAGCGCGTCCTCATCAAGCTCGCATCCACATGGGAGGGTATCAAGGCTGCTGAGATCCTGCAGTCCAAGCACGGCATCAACTGCAACTTGACCCTCATGTTCTCACAAGTCCAGGCCATCGCCGCCGCCGAGGCCGGTGCCTACCTCATCTCTCCCTTCGTTGGCCGTATTCTTGACTGGTACAAGGCCGCACACAAGAAGGAGTACAAGAAGGAGGAGGACCCCGGTGTCAAGTCCGTCGTGCAAATCTTCAACTACTACAAGAAGCACGGCTACAAGACCATTGTCATGGGCGCATCTTTCCGTAGCGTCGGTGAGGTCACCGAGCTGGCTGGTTGCGACTACCTGACCATTGCTGTAAGTTTCGCCGATAAACTGTTCTCTTACACATTTGACTAACGGACCCAGCCCAACCTACTTGAGGAGCTTTACAACTCACAAGACGACGTCCCCAAGAAGCTCGTCGCCGAGGATGCCAGCAAGCTCGACCTTGAGAAGAAGACCTACATCAACGACGAGGCTGAGTTCCGCTTCTACTTCAACGAGGACCAGATGGCCGTCGAGAAGCTCCGTGAGGGTATCTCAAAATTCGCTGCTGATGCCATCACCCTCAAGGACATCCTCCGCAAGAAGATCCAGGCCGCATAAATTGCTTAGTCCGATAACGGCCGTGTAATGAGCATCTGAAGACTCTTAAGGCTTTCGTAAATAGATAGTAAAATTGATATCAGATGTAAAATGACAAACTGGCCCCTGTGAAACCATGAGTGTAAACATTACTCAAGATTACACGTGAATGTATGCGGAACCACGTCAAGTCGTGGGCATGGTAGGTATTAATCATTCGTCGGTTCTGGCCCGGCATTAGTGGAGTTGCGTCACTACATTTGGACAGCCCCGCATTCGGCTTTCAAAGCTCACCGAGAGACAGCTGTCTGATAGCTTCTCTCTTCCTCTCCATCAACGCCTACACAATCACAATCCCAAAACACACATCAATACCATCAATACAAATCACATAACCGTCAAAATGGTCAAAGCTGGTACGTCCATGTTCAGTAGCTTCACAAGCTTTCCCCATTGCGGCATGGTGGGGTCGTCGGGGTGCGTAAGATTGAGCAGATTACCTCGACGACGCGGTACTCAGCGGTATCAAAACGCTGCAAAGAGGTCAATTGGACAGCTTTGGAGCCGTTATGAGGACCCTGCTGTCATTCCCGCAGCGTGGACCATTCTTGGGTCTTCCGGGGGTCTCCAATCAGCTCTCCTTACGCGAGACACCTTGATGGCCTTCTACTACGTGCTCAGACATACCTACGTTACAGAAGCTTAAAAACAACGTTATACTAACGCAAGATTACAGTCGCCGTCCTCCGTGGAGACTCCAACATCAAGGGTACCGTCACCTTTGAGCAGGCTGACGAGTCCTCCAACACCACCATCTCATGGAACATCACCGGCCACGACGCCAACGCTGAGCGTGGCATGCACGTCCACGCCTTTGGCGACAACACAAACGGCTGCACATCCGCCGGTCCCCACTTCAACCCCCACAACAAGACACACGGTGCCCCCGAGGACGAGGAGCGCCACGTCGGTGACTTGGGCAACTTCAAGACTGATGGTCAGGGCAATGCGCAGGGAAGTGTCACAGACAAGTTGATCAAGTTGATCGGCTCCGAGAGCGTCATTGGCCGTACCATTGTCGTCCACGCTGGAACTGATGACCTCGGCAAGGGCGGACACGAGGAGTCGAAGAAGACTGGTAACGCTGGCGCTCGTCCCGCTTGCGGTGTTATTGGCATCTCCAACTAGATGTGTCATTAAAAAAAATCTAGCGAGCGAGTAGTCTTAGTATAGCCAAATCAATCTATCTATGCCTCTCACAACATATATACAGTACACATGTGGTAGTCGTGCTGTTAACATATGAGATTTCATTTATTTGTTGCCTATTTAGACTGGCTATTCGCCCTGACCACAATCATGTCCCCGCAGCTGCATCAACTCGCTTTGTTGGAGATGACCGAATCTCATGTGATTGAGCGCAGCTAGCAGCATACGTGGGCAATTGCAGTGAGGGTAGGAATGTTGATAAGAGTGTTGTACCAATGTTCAGACACTAGAGCGATAGAGAACAAGACCAGAGCCAAACTCCACGCCAATGCAGAAGGGTATCGATGCTTACAGTCGAGAGGGAATGCGCGCCCCCGAGCGCCCACAGTCGCATGTTACGGTAGAGCTCAGAGCTTTCTTCTGTAGGCTCGAAGGAACTCCCGGCAATCACGGTAACGATTCTTCTTGAGTTCCAGTAGCTGTTGGCGTATCCGTTGTTTGTCGAGTTCCAGCTCGCGGCGAACTCTTTCTGGTTCATAAAGTTCCTGCTTTTGGTGAACTCTTCTTTGTTCGGCTTCCCGCTCTCGACGAACGCTCTCATTCCGTATATACTGGGAACAGAATTCTTTCCCATAACAGTGGAGTCCGACATGCAGAAGAAGTGGACTACTGTAGTGATCAAGGTCAGTACGAAATTAGAGGTATGCAAATACCACTTAGCGAAATATTAGAAAGAGGTATAAGCCACCGCCCCCGTCCTAGCGAGCACTAGAACAGAACAGGGGGAGCGGGAAAGTTATTACATGTTGACGACACGAGTATCGTCCTTGAGAAATTCACGGCGAAACCTCGCAATTTCCGCGGCAATACCGTTGGGATCCTTGATGTTTCTCTGGCGGAGGTCTTTGAGCACGCCACGGAGACCGTCATTCCAGCGTTGCTTCTCCTCGGACGTCTTACCGGGGTTGGCGGTTCCGAGCTGAACAAGCAGTCTGTCACCTATTGAAGATACAAGTTAGTATTTGCGCATATGTACAGTCGTGAAAACTGTAGTAGTAAAAGAAAAATGAAACTCTGAAACAAAGGAAAAAACTCCTCTACAACGCACCAGTAATGGCAACCTCCCTGAAGTGCTGATCAGGACATTCAGGGTCGTTGCATACGCCACCAGTTGACTCGTACTGGCAGAGAGGCTTCTCTGGGTTTATCTGATGACTGAAAGTCAAGGATAGGAAGCCACCTTGCACATCTTGAGCATAAGAAGGATGGTAACGGTAAGATTTGAACATCCGTAGCGGGCTCTCGTACGGAGTGAACTTGGGTGGCTGTGGTTCTTCGATCTCAGCGGGCACAGGCACCTGATCTAGATTAGCTAAGCCTCCCAAATGGTGATTGACATACAGGTTCGCCAGCGACCACCGTCGATGTTACCTCTCGAAGTGGTTGCAGCTCTGGCGCTAGATCGTCGGCCATTTCGGCGTCCTGATGCGACGGGTTCTTTGCTGATATAGTCTCCACGTCGGGCTCTGGAGTAGATTCATCATCTGATTCGCTGTCATCTGAGCTTTCATCAGACGACGACGTAGCGATGTCCATAGCACCATCTTCCGCTTCAGCCTGACCCGTGGGGGCGTCGAGGTGTGTGGGGGCATCATCGCCGCCCTGAACCTCCGGGATATCTTCGTCGACGTCGGGCGGTTCATAGGCTTCTTCCTCTTGTGTACCAGCCGGCGAGGTTGCGAGCGAAAACTCAGGTTTGGTCTGGGCCTCAACTTCCTCTGCCACAGGGGCTTCTGGGACGACGACGGGTTCTTCGGGCTCATATTCCGGTTCGTACTCTTCCTCGTCATCATCTCCCTCACTAACGGACATGTCGACCTCCTCTCCTTCTTCCGATGGCGAGGGCGCGGTGGTGGACTGCTGAATCGCTTGGTCCACAGGAGCGTTGGCATTGGCCTGCACTACCTCATTCGCTGTGGCTGGAACAACATGGACATTGGCTGGCAAATCTTGCGGTTCAGTGCGGTTCTGAGATGCTTCCGAGTAGATGTCGTCTTGTTGAGACGACACCTGCAATGCACCAGCTGGCTGAAGAGTGACGTCTTGCTGCGAGATCTTCTCTGAGACTTGGGTGTGACCCAGATTATCTGGTCCAGTTAAGACATCAGGCTCCGCTGAATTCTGTCCAAGTCCAGGAAAGGTGTTCCGAGGAAGATTCCAAGCTGGAGGAGAGTTGTCGAATGTGGCCTGTACCACGGGACGGGTTTGTTGGAGTGATTCGTTAGAGTCTGAAGACTGTTCGCCCTCAATTTCATCTTTCTTGGCACGTAGTTGTGCATGAGACATGCCCTCGGTGTCAACACCAAGGTCCTCCAGCTCTTTGCTCAGCTGCTCCTTGTCCCTTGCGATCTTCTCGTTCTGCGCCGTCAGCTGTTCCAGCTCTTTGGTCAGTTGAGCCATCCTACTCGCGTTGCTTGCAATCTCGGCATCCAATGTAGGCAGCCTGGATTGGATCTCCGCTCGGCGGATTCGGCGTGAGTTGTTGCCATCGTGCGAACGTGTCGGTAATGATGTGGAAGTCTGAAGAGATGAACCTGGCGTCGACGGTTTTTGGCTCGAGGATGGTGATGCAACAGTGGTAGTAGCTGCTGCCAACCTATCTCGCTCTCGCTTTTCAGCAAGTTTCCTCTTGAGTGTCTCTCGCATGGCCACCAGCTGCTTCTCCTTATCTACCAACTCCTTCTCACGCATAACCGTATTGGGGGTCTGCGAACCAGACGTACCAACAGTGGCGTTTGATGGGGTCGCAGGTGGCGCACCAGAAGGAAAGTTGGGGAGATTTCCAACAGTCTGGCGCGAATTCTGGCTGGCTTGGAGAGAAGGTTGATCGTCGTCGATATCCATGTCGCTACCGTTGGACTCGTCTTCGCTGACATCTATTATCATTGAATCATCTTCTTGATCAGCGTGTGGAGACTGGCCTAGAGGCCGTGTGTGAGGAGTGACAGCGGGTGGGAAGGAGGACTGTGGTTGAGATGCGGCTGGTGCAGGTGTATTAGACGTCGAAGATGCGTTCATGAAGAGACCCGGGATGGCAGAGAATGATGGCACGTAGGCGGTACTTGTAGGTGTTTGCGACCCTGGGGTAACTGGCGCAACTGGCGCAACCGACGGCTTCTGTCTCGCCTTGATCGCTTCCAAGCGCTGCTTAATCAACTCGGTATTACGGGCTCTCTGTTCGTCTGTCACAGGCGGTTTAGAAGTAGGTGGGGTCGCAGGCTGGGATGTCTTGGTAGCCGGCGCGGGAGTAGTGGTTTTGGCGGTGGCCTGTTTCGCAGCCTTTGCGGCCTGAAGGCGTGCTATGTAATCTTGACGGCCTACTGGCGACGCGGCAGACTTGGGGGTGTCTTGCGTAACAGGCGTTAGTGGCTGCACAGCAGGAGCCTTGGAAACAGCACCATTGCTCTTAGGTGGCAGAATGGGCGCAGGTTCCGACGGCAGGTTTGCGCTCTGGTACAGGCCTCTCAGCAGCTCGGGATCAAGCTGTTCGTGAGCTAGGGCGCGATAGGTGACATTGTTGCTATGCAAGAGCTTGATGAAGTGTTTGGCCGCGTCGCGATCCTGCTGTAGCTTGTCCATGATGGTGGGTGGACTGTCGCCTCCGCCCTCACTCAACTCGCCATCTTCGCGATCGCTATCCATGACCTCTTGTATGCGCTCTGGGGGTGGAGGTAGTGAGGGCGGCGGAGGCAGCGAAGATGGCGGAGGGAAGTGAGATGGGGGGAAAGCCATGTTGGGGAATGGCGGCGGCG